AAAAAAAAAAATTTTTTTCACGCACGTTCGTCCAACAAAGGATCGACGTTCGGTTTAACCACGAGCTTCCTTTCTCGTCTGCTCTCACCAAAATCCACTATGTATTCGATAAAGTATTTCACATATTGTATTTCAGTCGTCACACTTTCGGCGATTCGTTTGAACAATTCTATTCTTTCCCCGTATTCTTCGCAAATGTCAGCTATACAAATTACGTGGGAGATAGTCTGAAAGGAGGGAATGAATAATAATATGAGAACAATGTTGATAAGTAATGAAGGAGAAAGATTGAAAGAGAAAGAAGAATAGAATTGAACCTTGTACAATTTATACCAATTGGACGGCTTTGCTTGTGGTCCGGAACAACAGATCAGTATGGCGTTGGTCAAGCGATACACGTGCCGCAAGCAAGAGGTTAAATTTTCGACGACGCTTTGGTTGTCGAGATCGAGGAAAAATTCGATCGCGTTTAGTCGTTGCTCGAGCATCGCGATGTTTCGCGTCGGATGATGCAATGTTTTCCTACGAGTGTAATAAAATATATATGATACATAAAAATGAAACAAGCCGCGTCTATTTTTGCGTTAAGTGTATATAATTATTTTTACCATAGAAATTGAACACCTGGTCTTGAATTGCAATAACGATTAAGCAGGGAGAACAGACTGACACCTTTCATCGTCGTGATCGTTTCGCCAAATTTGAAGAGACTCGGGTGATCCCTTGCTTGAACGATGTTCAACGCTTTATAAGTATCTTCGTCCATCGTGACTAAATCTCGACTTGGTTCGGCAAAAGTAGAAAGAATTTGTGAAAAGAAACATCGTTAATCGAATGATAAATAATTTCAACTTACAGATTGATGTAATTCAGAGATACGAAGGACGCTTTTCCGGAAGGATCTAGAGCGATGTTATTCCAATGTTTGTCGACGAATAACAAGAGCGAACCCAAAGCGTGAATCATTGAGCAACACTTGAAATTCAATATACTATTTAAGAAAGTCAATCTGTCCATGCTGTTGGCGTTTCTCGGCTCTGATTCGATGCGAAGACATCTCACTCTGTGCGAGCATCGTTCGTAATTATGGTCTTTTTTACAGGTCAGTTTCAACACGGTGTTACGCACGCTTTCGAACGAATTCGATTCTTCGTTCATTGTTTGCGCCATTAAAATTTGCTTGATCGCGTTCGTGAAAGAAGATGGCGCGCCAGCGTTCACGAGCAAGTAACGTGGTAAACATTGTTTGTATAGCACTTTTGCCACGTCGAAACGTTCAAAGTCGTCTATCGTATCTTCTAGCACGAATAATTCGGATGTAACGACATTGTAATAAGCGGCGCCAAGACGATTGTTGTTCCAAATCATCGATAAGATTATCTGTTACAAAGAGAGATGATTCGAATGAAATTAGGAAGGATTAGGAATGGCTTGTTCGATTCGTATTTGAAAAAAAAAAAAA